GGTGGGGCTGGGAAGGTGGCTCAGTGGTAGAGTGCTTGCCTTGCATGCATGAAACCCTGGGTTCGATTCCTCAGCACCACATAAGCAGAAAAAGCCAGAAGTGGCACTGTGGCTCAAGTGGTAGAGTGCTAGCCTTGAGCTGAAGAGCTGAGGGACAGCGCCCAGGCCCAGAGTTCAGGCCCCACGACCAGACCCCTAAAAAAAATGTTGATGAGGGTCCCTTCCAACTTTCTAAAGGACAAGCTTTACAGGCCATTTGGGAAATTACCATGCTTTGCCTTATATTAATTATATGGCTTTTCACATTAGTGTGATTCTCATGACTATGGTGTTCTTCCTTATATCACTTAAAACAAGGACCAAATAAAATCACTTAGACTCAAGAGTTTTCATTTCCTTGGGCTGGGAAGGTGGCTCAGTGGTAGAGTGCTTGCATTGCATGCATGAGGCCCTGGGTTCTATTCCTCAGCACCACATAAACAGAAGGAAAAAAAAGCCGGAAGTAGCACTGTGGCTCAAGTTGTAGAGCACTAGCCTTGAACTGAAGAGCAGAGGGACAGCGCCCAGGCCCAGAGTTCAGGCCCCACAACCGGCAAAAAAAAAAAAGAGTTTTCATTTCCTGAATTAACTCAAATCAACTCCAAAATAACCCTTCTTTTTTTCTTTTTTTATTGTGAAAATACCATACACAGGGGTTACAATTACATGAGCAAGGTAATAAGTACATTTCTTATCAAGCATGGTTGCCTCCTCCCAAAATAACCCTTCTTGACATAAGAAACACAGAGATTTGGATGTATTCTGCCACTCTAGGTATGTTTCTCCACTAATTAAAGGAAGTGAAAACTATTTATTTGCTTGATATTAATTAAAGCAATTAGACTATTCATAAACTAGTTTTGAATTTGACCTTTCATATTTTCTATTGGATTCTTACTCACTTAGGAAGTAAACCTAATTAGACATCATATTCGCCTGTAGAGCAGCATTTTATAGGTAGAATGGAAAGTATCATGATTGTTGAGCAGATTTGGAATTATATCATTACTTATTCATTGGCTCACTAGCATAGAATAATTCACTTCATATTGTTGTTTGTTTCCCCATTGATAAAAGCAGGATAATAGTTGCTGGCATACAGTTAGAAAGAGTACATTGAAAAGGTATGTACTAATCTTCATGTCCAGTACACAATAAACATTAACTATTAAGTTCATTTGCTCCTGTATAGTCTTCTCTCAAGTTCTTTGATCGGATCCTATACTTTTCTGGAACTTTAATATCAGCCTCCCTCCTCCCCCCCCCACACACACAAAATAAAAACCACTTACAAGAGATGGCTTGGTCTAGAAGAGAAATTCGTAAACTTAATAGATGAGAAATATTTATTACTCAAAAATATATACACATTAATAAATATATGTTAAAATAGAAACAAATTATTATCCCTGTAAGATAAACTGCTGAAAATGCACCATACTAAAGCTACCCAACACAACTATGTTTAATGCAGCATTATTCTCCATAGCTAAGATAATAGAAACAACCTAGATGTCCCTCAGTAGATGAATGGATTAAGAAAATGTGATATCTATACACAATGGAATTCTATACCTCCATCAGAAAGAATGACATTGCCCCATTTGTCAGGAAATGGAAAGACTTAGAAAAAATTATATTAAGTGAAGTAAGCCAGGTGCAAAGAAAGATATATCCCATGTTTTCCCTTATTTGCAATAACTACTATATATCTGAGACAAGCAGGAAAGGTCAGATAAAATGATGTTAAGCGAAATGAACTCCACGATAAGGACACAAGTTTTTTTTTTCCTTTCCTGCTATTGTTTCTAATGTATTTATAAGGTACCACATGATTTTTTTGTTGCTTTGTATGTCCCTCCTCCACAGTATAACCCCTGTTCTCACTGTATTTGATATTGGTATAATTTGGGGAGGGAAAGGGAAAAAAATCTTTAAATAGGGATACAGGTTGACCCATTGCAACAATGAGATGTACAAGACACTATGTTGAAAAACAAACTTTACAATTTAAGCGGGGGGGGGGGGAATGTAGTTGTGGAGGTGGGAGGGAAGGGATGGTAGGGGGAAAATATAGGAGGAGGCAACAATGCTTGATAAGAAATGTACTCATTTCCTTGCTCATGTGATTATAACCCCTCTGTACAGTATTTTCACAATTAAAAAAAAACATTTAAAAATGAAAATAGAGACTTATAAAATCTCCTTGGTTTTTTGGCACATGGAACATGGAAAAGTTTAATGTGATGAAGTAGGCTTTTCTATGAGTCCAAGGGTTGGTTCTTAGGCAAGCAAATCCACAGCAACCTTGTAGCGAAATTTTTATGTTTCTCCAGGGGAATCATGGCTTGAAAAGATTTTAAAATGCTAAATGAGTGACTGTGTAGTGTGAAAATCCTATTTCAGAGCTCTTTCCTTATATAACTGTTGTTTGTACTTCATAGTATTTTCTTTTTTTTTTTTTTTTGTCGGTTGAGGGGCTTGAACTCTGGCCTGGGTGCTGTCCCTCAGCTCTTCAGCTCAAGGTGAGCGCTCTACCACTTGAGCTACAGCACCACTTCTGGTTTTTCTAGTGGTTTATTGGAGATAGGAGTTTCACGGTCTTTCCTGCCCAGGGTGGCTTTGAACCGCGATCCTCAAATCTCAGCCTCCTGAGTAGCTAGGATTACAGGCGTGAGCCACCGGCACCTGGCTATTCATAGTATTTTCTTTGAAAAAATGATAGTTATTTCATTTTCAAAAATGAAAACACTTGTCTGTGGTCCAAAAGTTGAAGCTCTATGATAAGTCCATCTGAAAGAAAAATGTTGCAGCCACTAGGAAAGATTACAGGGTTCTTTTACAGACCTGTGCTACATTCCACAAGGTACACTCTACTCCATAGTTCTTCACTATGGCTCTACTATGTGGCATCTCATGACATATAACTATTCCTATGATTCCTAGAATCATGCAATTTTATTGCCAAAACCATCTATTTCAAACCCTTTTTCATTGTTATGAGTGAGATAACTAAGCCTCATATAAATAAAACAAGACCACAAATGAGATATTGCTAGGATGTTAACTAAAACTCCAGCTTCTTAATTTCTTCTATGCTGATCTATTTCATCATTCTGATTGTGAAGAATTTGAGTTGATAATAGGTGAGAACAAAAAGAATATAATATGATCCAATATATAATGAAAATTTTTTGAGAAAAAATTTAAAATAAAATATAGACCATCCCCCTGCATTCCATTACTCTGGTTGTTATGATCTTTATGACATCGGATTTTTACAACAAATATCTCTGTCCTCCTCTCTAGAGATTTGACTAGAATTATAGACTGGTCAGCCTCAAAACGTCTCAATAGAGTTATCATAAGCATAGCTATCCAGTAACCTCAAACTGCTAAAATGTAACTGTCCATCTGAAGTCATGCTCCCCCACTGCCTGTACCACTTGAACTAAACAACTTTCCTAGCTGGGCCCAAAAAGGAACCTCAATTGTCCAAAAAACAGACCAGTGTTCAACACAACTCATGGAAAAACACAATTAGCCCAAAGTTCTGACCTGATTCTCAGTTGAGGATGGGAGATTTGAAACCTCAATAACAATAATACCTGCTTTAGCCATGAATGATTTTGCTGTATTTTAGGATGCCTAAATTTCCCAACTAGTAGAAATAATGACTCCCTACATCCATTTGAACAAATTAAAAAAAAATCTCCACACTTGTAGGGTTTTTGAAACTCAAATTAATCCCTACAAAATAAAACAAGTACATGTCCGCTATCCTTTTTTTTTGGGGGGGGGGTCCGGTCATGGGGCCTGAACTCTGGGCCTGGGTGCTGTCCCTCAGCTCTTCAGCTCAAGGCTGGTGCTCTACCACTTGAGCCACAGCTCCACTTCTGGCTTTTTTCTTTTTGCTTATGGGGTGCTGAGGAATCGAACCCAGGGCCTCATGAATGCAAAGCACGCTCTTTACCACTGAGCCACCTCCCCAGCCCCTCCACTATCCTTTTATCTAGTGGGATCCTACTGTCAACTGACTTCAGGTAGGAAGTCAGTATCTGCCCTGAGGCACTCCTTAACTAGAAACTTCTTTCTGACTCAGTCATGTTATCTCAAAACCAGAAAAGCTCTACCACCCATGACAATAACAATAATCAATGAAATGATAAATCCTTCTTCTTTGAGGTTCTACTATCCAGTAGGGTTGGAACTGTGACAGAAAGTACCATTTTAAAGGAACAGAGAACCCCTCTGAGCACATTCTGAAATATTTTGGTACATTTTCTCTTTTCTTAACCTAAAAGCCATCAGAAACACACATGTATTTATAGTATTGTCTTGAAGGTGCAGTTTGTTCTTCCTCTCGTGTAAAGAGAAGATGATATTAATGATACATGTCCTTGCTGTAGCTCAGTAGCTAACTAGCTGGGCATTTATAATTGTCTTCACCTTGAAGGTTCTGCACCTCTACGTGCCTTTCCCCTCCAAACATCTCTTTCTTTCTTCCTAGAAGAAATTACTACTTGTCTCAGTATCACTACAAGCTAATGTTACTGAATCAAGGACCTTAGTCATGAAAACATTTCTTTTGCAACTAAGTAAACTGCACTTAATCCTCTTTTATTCAAATCCCCCTTTTATTGTCTAGGCATGTCAAAATGTCTCAATAAGTCTCAATGGGCACAATACCTTGCTCACCACTTGCTGGCATCTTTCCTGGTTCCATTCTACAAAGAGACCTTAGCCAAGTGTGAGAAACACCACAGCCTCAGAGTTCCTGATGTAACTATGGTAGCTGATGGTGTTAACCTTAATCTGGGGCTCTCTTCAGACTCACCTTCACTCCTACTGACAATTTTGATTCAGACACTGACCCAACATTAGTTTCTATTCTGATTTCTGTGCTACCACCAGTCCTTCACATGGAATCTCTAATCCCCAGGTGCTAGGTTCTAACTTACCCTTGTAGTCAGCCGGGATAAGTACTCTTGTTTCTTTGCAAGCAGCTAGTTGTAAAAAAGCTTAACTCTGCATAGCATGCATATATCTTGCTGAAAATTCGGTGTTGAAAGAGGAAGTTGAGTACATTTCGTGTCTCACCACAAAAACCTTATTTGCACGGCCTGAAGGTAAGTCCCTTTAGCAAATGACGCTAGTCAAATTTTGTTTCCTATTTATTTCATTGGTGCAGAGAAATTCAAAAAGGAGGGAATAATAAAAAAAGATCTATGCACAAACAAATGCCAGCCTTCATCACTGTTCCCCACCTTTTTCCTTCCACCACAACTCCATGCTTGTCTACTACATTCAAGTAGGTTCTATGGTAAGATGAGAGTTTTCAAACAAAAACTAAAGAGTGCTTACCTAAGAACAGGAAACCTGTTGCTTCTTCAATCCTGGGGAGGAGTCTGAGGAAATCTCGAAAGTATATGTCAGAAGTAAGAACAGCAATGCTACCTTTTTTTAGCTGTTCACTTAATCCAGAATACTATTCTCTCAGTACTCTTCACTTCATCTCTCACAATGTAATGCAGTTTAGCTGGTTTTGTATATTTATTATTCATGTAGTAGACTGCAAACAGCTTAAGAGTAAATGCCATGTCTGATTCATTTATGTATTTCTGATAAGTCCAATGCAACTGATTTTCATAAATGCTTATTGAATCAAAAATTGAAGGAATGAGCAAATAAATATTTATTAAAAGAATTTATCAGTAAACAAATTAACAGTATTGAATGTGAAGTTTCATACCTGTGTATTAAGATTTTGATCATTATGTATAATGTCTACACTTAGGGTCTTTTGAAGTGTACAAATAAATATCACACACTTGAAGTCTACTGTAATTCTGAGAAATAAGGCTTACAAAACAGCACAAACCACTATAAACATATAAGGGAACCAACCATACTCAGAACCAAAGGCCTGGAGATGCAAAGAGCCCTCTGTGTAATAACAACAGTAAAGGAGAAGAAAATAAATTATTGCAGATTAGGTCAAAGAGTAGCATTTCGATTCACAACTAAGAAAAATGAAAAGGGGCTGGGAAGGTGACAGTGGTACAGTGCTTGCATTGTATGCATGAGGCACTGGGTTCCACACCACATAAGCAGAAAAAGCCGGAAGTGGTGCTGTGGCTCAAGTGGTAGAGTGCTAGCCTTGAGCTGAAGAGCTGAGGGACAGCGCCCAGGCCCAGAGTTCAGGCGCCACGACTGACAAAAAAAAAAAAAAGAATAACAAAAAAAGAAGTGGATGATAGCATTCGTGTAAGGAAAGCAACCTGAATCTTCAGCTACCTCATCTTGCAATAAGCTAATTTATAAAACCAGAACAATTTGACTGCTAGGAGCCATGTCCAACACACAGGGTTATCCAACACAAATCATAAGGATATCAAGGCTTGGAAAAGAAAAGTTTTCCACGTTGGATACTATGAGCTTGGCTGACTGATGATAAGACCATGACTTGTAAGGACTTGCAAAGGGAGAGGGTCCTCATTCCCACCCATGTATGTCAGATAAAACAGGTCTGACCTTGTAGTTCCAAAGTCCTAATTATGATTTCACAGATTATCTGTTATTCATTTACTTTTCTGACTTGGCATCCCTACTGAAAAAAAGAATACACTGACAGGCCAACATATCTCAGCCCATTTGGCAATTCTGTTCTTCACTATAAATTACTAAATTGGCTTTAAGATATAAATCCATCCCTTGTGAGTTTGGTTTTGCAAGCCACTTTTTCTAGGATATTCTTTTCTGAACTAATAAAGTTCCACACCTGTTGAACTCAAAAGCCAAAACCTGGGACAGAGGGAGAAAAGAAACCCTTTCCTGACAATTGCCCATCATGATCACAACCCATCTTCATTTTAGATGATATTCTCACATTTCTTATATAATTTCTGTCTTGAGTGCTAGTAGTTTTTCCTGTCATTGACCCTAATAAGCAAAACAAGAGATCAGAAGTCACAGGCTCAATTCAGGTAAAAAAATAATAAGACATTCAACTCAGGAAAATTTGCATTTTATTTAGTAGGAACAAGACCATGAATAAAATAATTTAGCAATCATCTCAAGTAAGAAATGATAATCACAATTATCATCTCAAATTAACTTTTAAAAGAAAGTTTTCTGGTTATTGGGTATGAATAATGATCTACCTATCATGATCATCTTGAATCAAGTTACAAATATTCTAGTCATGTGTGTAAATTACTGTAGCTATCTTTTTTGGCCATAGACTTGAAGTTTTCTCTTCTTTTTTCTTTTTAAAAAATTCTTCCCTTCTTCCTACATATTCCTTCAGTTTATCTGATGGGTCAAATATGTCCTAAGCTGGAGAAATCTTATAATTTTGTGCTTCAAAGACCTTTGGTCTCTGTGACAGTAGCATTAGATGAGTAATGATAGCTATTTGGGAGAACGCTGTTCATGACTATTTTATTTTCTAGAAGGACCTAGCTAATCCTACTATCAGGAAAATCTACTTTTCTTGAGGAACTGGTTTGGTCCTAAATGTCATGAATTCTGACATTAATTGGTCATGTGTCTCTTTTTATAAGGCCTGCAGGAAACCTGGAATCAAGTGTACACTGGTAACAAGTACATAATTATACATTATGACATGCTGTTTTAGGATGAACATTTTTCACAGCTCAATTTTTATTTCCCATCTTTTTATTATTTTACATTTATCTTTAATTTTTATTGCCTTGCTATAATATACATCCTTTTAAACTGCCATCATGCCTCTATAGAACAAAAAGTAAAAATAGAGGAACAATGACCTTAAGTATTTTCATATTAAAAACATTGAGCATGAATGGTTTTAGCTAAGCTCTCTTCAATAATCATCTATTTCTGATTCTGTCCACAGAGCATTCCTTTGAATTTTTTGGAATTAATCATTCAACAAATAACAAACCATCTTAAATAAGTAGTTTTTTCAATGGTGAGTGGGAGAGTGGGATTCAGAAGCATAAAATACATTCTTTCTCCTCCAAGAGCCTATAAGTTGGCAATTCATAAAATAACTAAAAAGTTTGACATTGTGTATGATTTTTTATGTTTTTTTATATATTTATTGTAAAAATGTACAGAGGGGTTACAGTTACATGAGTAGGGTGATGAGTACATTTCGTAGCAAGCATTGTTACCTCCTCCTTTGTTTTCCCCCTACCATCACTTCCCTCCCCACCTCCCCAATTCCTCCTGCCCCCCCCCATCCCAACATTGTAAAGTTTGTTTTCAACATAGTGTCCTGTACATCTTGTCATCACAGTGGGTCAGCCTGCATCCCCATTTAAGCATTCCCCAATATCCCTTCCCCTCCCCAAATTACAAAAATGTATACACAAGGTGCAGAACACCAGCAGCAAATCCAGTGAGAACAAGGGTTATATTGTGGGGGAAGAACATACAAAAGAAACAAAAGACTCACATAGTGCATTGTAAGTACATTAAAAACACTAGCAAGAAAAAAAACTCACTTGTGTCCCTGTCTTGGGGTACATTTTGCTTAACATTATCTCATGTGGTCATATGTACATAGCCTTTGAACTTCTCTGCTTGTACTAGATGTGTACTAGTCATTGCAAACAAGGGAAACCATGAGATCTATGTTTCTTTGGGCCTGTCTTACTTGACTTAATATAATTTTTTCCAAGTCTTTCCATTTCCTAACAAATGAGGCAATGTCATTCTTTCTGACTGAGGCATAGAATTCCATTGTATATTTGTATGTGGAAGTTAAAGCAAATGCACTGTGGGCTAAATCTGTTCAGGAAATCTGCTGGTCCTTTCCTGTTTAGTAGGCCGATTTCAGTTTAAGTAATGCTTCCCAATGAGTAGAACATGTCCTGTTGGAGTCATTCAGGGTTTTTGTATTTTAGGCAGTACAAAGAATGAGAGCTGGTAAAGCTCTAGCCTCTAATCCTAGCTACTCAGGAGGATGAGATCTGAGGACCGTAGTTCAATGGCAGCCCATGCAGGAAAGTCCATGAGATTTATTTCCAATAAACTACTCAAAAGAAGAAAAAGGCAGAAGTGGAGCTGTGGCTTGAGTGGTAGAGTGCTAACCTTAAGCAAAAAAAAGCTCAGAGACAGCATCTAGACCCTAAGTTCAAGCCTCAGCATTGGCAACAACAAAAGAAAAGAAGACAATAAAAAAGAATGAATAACTTAAAAAATTAAATAGTATACATTTTAAAGCTTTAAAATATAACAAAATTCGCAACTCAAATCTGTGATTTCATGAATATTACTGTTTAAAATGAGGCTAAAGTAGGTAACTAAGTTTTAAAAATGGATTATTTAAACACATTGATACATTAAAGAAAATGTATAGAATGCAAGCAAACATAGTAAAGCTATGACAAGACATCTACGTGTCTAAAATTCAACAAGTTTAAATAGAAGGCAATTAATTTTAGGAGAGAGAAAAATATATTACCAAGGACACAAACGGACTATAAACACGTGCTGTTTGTGTAATACCACAAAACTTTGAAGCATGTTAGGAAGCAGCATTAAGGAAGCTTTGAGGATGGAAATACACAAAGAAGCTCTTGAAGTATGGAAACCATGGAATGCAGAAAGTTACTGATGAGTTTGGAGCAGAGTCAAGGGAAGGAAATGAAAATTACTATTTTTGAAATATTTTGTATATACTCTCATGATTCAAAGTGATTTAAGCGATCAACCTTTTTTAATCCTTTACACAATCCTGTGGAGAAGGAATGATTATTATCTCCCATCATTGCAAGAGCAAATTTAAATACATAAAGCTAATTAAGTATCTAAGATCATACACAAAACAAGTAAGTGGGGATGAAAAGACTCAGAACCAAGTCTGTTTGCTTCTAGAACCCAACCTCTTTCTCATACTCCCTGAAAGATCACTGAAATGAATGTGTCCAGAATGCATTGCTGTAAAGGACAAAACAAGAGGTGGAATGCTCCTTTGGAGGACCTATCAGTAATGCAAATTTAAGGTGATAAGAATGTAGAGTAGGAAAATAACAGTAAGAATTAAGATAGAGAGTAATTTCAAAAGAATTATTTTTTCTCAAAAGAATCCTTAAA